CACACACACACACTCACTCACACGCACACACACACTCACTCACACGCACACACACACTCATACTCTCTCACACACACACACACACACTCACTCACACGCGCACACACACACACACACTCATACTCTCTCACACACATGCACTCACACACACACTCACTCACACGCACACACACACACTCATACTCTCTCACACACACACACACACACTCACTCACACGCACACACACACACACACACTCACACTCTCTCACACACACACACACACTCTCATACACTCATACTCTCTCACACACACACTCACACACACACACACACACACACACAGCATGCAGCTTTCTGACTTCATCTGTTTCTCTCTCTGTCACAGGATGTTTGTTGAGTTGTTTGATTCTCTTTATTTTTCACGTGTCATGAATGTTTTGTTTCTCAGCTCCACTTCCTCACTTGACTTCAGATGATGTTGACAAAGCCTTGCAAAACTCCCCGCGGTTAATGCATGCTCGCATACTCTCTCACACACACACACACACACTCACTCACACGCACACACACACACACACACTCATACTCTCTCACACACACACACACACTCTCATACACTCATACTCTCTCACACACACACTCACACACACACACACACACACACACAGCATGCAGCTTTCTGACTTCATCTGTTTCTCTCTCTGTCACAGGATGTTTGTTGAGTTGTTTGATTCTCTTTATTTTTCACGTGTCATGAATGTTTTGTTTCTCAGCTCCACTTCCTCACTTGACTTCAGATGATGTTGACAAAGCCTTGCAAAACTCCCCGCGGTTAATGCATGCTCGTAATACAGGTAAGCAGCCCTGTAGCCCCGCCCCTGACCCCGCCCACACTGCTCTCACACACGCATGTGCTCTCCTGCATGTGCTGCTGATGCTGAAAGTGTCAGACGCAGACGTCGCTCACACTGATCTGTGTCTCAGGAGGAGCCAGCTTCATCTTCCCAAACACCTCCGTCTTCCCTCCAGACGCCAGCAGAGGACCCAGCCGAGCAGACGTGAGTTTCGACGCCAGGCGCTCTGGATGGACTCAGCCGGCGTCTGCAGCTAAAGGTTGGTCGGATGCGCGTGTGATAGCCTTACACGGCTCATGCTTCACGCTTAACCCGAATTTCTGTGTTCATTAGTTTCTCAGAGTTCTGCTGCCATCATGACCAAAACCGAAGAGCAGAGAGCTCAGTTAGGTGAGAGGATCATGGGAACGGCACACACACTTAGAGTGACTGAGGGATCATATCATGTCCTGATTTTAATCAAATAAAGCATAAATCAGCTGAAGTGCATCACTAGGATGGTCTCTGATGTTTGCTTGTCGTCTTCTCTGTAGATCCATATCAGATTTTAGGGCCGACATGCAGCAGGCTGGCGAATCCAGGTGGGAGTCAAAGATGTAAATTTATTTGTTATTTGTTTTGCATTATAGTTGCATTTCTTAGATTAGAGCTGGACGATAATGTAGTTACATTTTGTTACAATATAAACAGTCTAGCAGGTGAGATACAGTGTATAGTATATATTGTTTTACGTGAGTGTACTGTATGTATGCAAATAAAGTTGGATATACTTATATATTCAAATTTATATAAACAGTTGTTTGATAAATAGGGGTGCCAAGCAATTACATTTTTATGTGATGTGCCAATTACTTAATCACACATCAATTTGGGCTGAGAAATGACCCCCCAAAAGATCATTTATTCATTATTGTGTTAAATGAAATGATACTGTAATTATGAAACTAAAAGCTCCGGTAGGTGGCAGCAAGTGACTGTCATTGAATCATTCATTTAACTGATTTGTTCATAACTGCTGATTCATTCAGAAATGACTCCTAAAGAATCGCTCAATTCGTTCAAAAACGTGGATTCATTCAGTAAGGAATCACCGCTGTGTGTTGCTCACAGACGGTCAACAGTTCTGCTGTGGCTTTGATTTGCAAAACTGAGCAAAAACAGACAATGTTGACAGATATGTGTCTGAAATATAACACAATATTAACTTCTTGTTTAGCAAACGGTTGGATAAATCAATATCATCATATTTGCATATGACGGACAGGTCTGAACGGGGCGCTGCATTTTAACACTTTATTTGTGACCCTGGACCACAAAATTGGTCATAAGGGCCAATGTTTTCTGAATAAATAAGCTTTGCATTGATGTATGGTTTGTTAGGATAGGACAATATTTGGCCGAGTGTGTGTGTGTGTGTGTGCGGATTTTTGTGACAAATGAGGACATAAATGTGTATAATGGCAAAGGTATAACACAGGTATTACAAGGAGAAGGTGACTTTTCAGGACATTACCCCATGTCCCCACTTTTCAAAACGCTTATAAATCACACAGAATGGAGTGTATTGAAAATCTGAAATAGCAGAAAGTCTCCTGTGAGGGGTAGGTTTAGGGGTAGGGTTGGTGTAGGGCAATAGAATATACGGTCTGTACAGTATAAAAGTGTGTGTGTGTGTGTGTGAGTGTGTGAGTGAGAGAGAGTGTGAGTGTGTGTGTGTGTGTGAGTGTGTGAGTGAGAGAGAGAGAGAGAGAGAGTGTGAGTGTGTGAGTGAGTGAAATTAAGTTTTGATAAATTTACGGTAGGACATTTACTAAATATCTTCATGGAACATGATCTTTACTTAATATCCTAATGATTTTTGGCATAAAAGAGAAATGTATAATTGTGACCCATACAATGTATTGTTGGCTATTGCTACAAATATCCCCCAGCGACTTAACACTGCTTTTGTGCTGCAGGACCACATTTGTTCCATAATTAATCGCACCAAGTTAAAGCATTAAATGGCCAGCCCTAGTGATGATCTAGATGATTGTGTGTTTCAGGTTCGGGTCAGATCCAGCTGTGGCAGTTCCTCCTGGAGCTTCTCTCCAACAGCTCCAACTCGTCCTGCATCACGTGGGAAGGAACCAACGGCGAGTTCAAGATGACGGATCCGGACGAGGTGGCGCGGCGCTGGGGCGAGAGGAAGAGCAAGCCCAACATGAACTACGACAAGCTGAGCCGAGCCCTGCGCTACTACTATGACAAGAACATCATGACCAAAGTGCACGGCAAGCGCTACGCCTACAAGTTCGACTTCTTACTTAATATCCTAATGATTTTTGGCATAAAAGAGAAATGTATAATTGTGACCCATACAATGTATTGTTGGCTATTGCTACAAATATCCCCCAGCGACTTAACACTGCTTTTGTGCTGCAGGACCACATTTGTTCCATAATTAATCGCACCAAGTTAAAGCATTAAATGGCCAGCCCTAGTGATGATCTAGATGATTGTGTGTTTCAGGTTCGGGTCAGATCCAGCTGTGGCAGTTCCTCCTGGAGCTTCTCTCCAACAGCTCCAACTCGTCCTGCATCACGTGGGAAGGAACCAACGGCGAGTTCAAGATGACGGATCCGGACGAGGTGGCGCGGCGCTGGGGCGAGAGGAAGAGCAAGCCCAACATGAACTACGACAAGATGAGCCGAGCCATGCGCTACTACTACGACAAGAACATCATGACCAACACACACACACACTCTCACACACACACACACACACTCTCTCTCTTGCTCTCTCTCACACACACACTCACAAACTCACTCGCACACACACACACACACTCAAACACACTCACAAATTCACACACACACACACACACTCAAACACACACTCATACACAAACGCACGCACTCATATGCACACACACACACTCATACACACACACACTCATAAACTCACACACACACATTCAAACAAACTCTCTCACACACTGTTGTCATCTGAGCGTCTCTGTTGCCACAACAGTCTTGAACTCTACAATAATTTTAAGACAATGTATCTTTCAGAGTTTGTTGGATTTAAAACACAAATACTATAAACGTGTCATATTTATTTCGGGAGAAACATGGATCAAATAGTTTTCCTAAAATAATTGTGAAACGTGTGAAATGGATTGAAACATACAAAAAAAAACCCGGAAACAGAAAATATGAACTGTGAATTGATTGGATGGTGAAAGTGAATAAGAGCAATGGATGATGGAGAAAGTCACTATATTCATATTATACTTTAAATAATGTTACTGATTAATCATTCCCAATAATACCATAACATGATGAAATAAGTATATAGAGCAATTTTGATTCGAAGTGTATACTACAGTTCAGACGTTTTTAAAAGAAGTCTCTTCTGCTCAACAAGGCTGCATTTATTTGATCAAAAATACAGTAAAAAGAGTGAAATATTACTACAATTTAAAACAGCTGTTTTCTATGTGAAGAGACAGTAAAATGTAATTGTTTCCTGTGATCAAAGCTGAATTTGTTTGTGTAAACCATGATACACTACCTGAAAAAGGTTTGGGGCCGGTAAGATTTAAAGGGATAGTTTACCCAAAAATGAAAATTCTGTCATTAACTACTCACCCTCGTGTCGTTGCAAACCCGTAAGACCTTCATTCATCTTCTGAACACAAATGAAGATATTTTTGATGAAATCCGAGAGCTCTCTGACCCTGCATAGACAGCAAGGGAACCGAAACGTTCTAAATGACAGAATTTCATTTTTGGGTGAACTAGCCCTTTAAATACAATGAAGAAATTAATACTTTTATTAATCAAGGACGCATTAAATTGATCAAAAGTGACAGTTTAGACATTTATAATGTCACAAAATATTTCTATATCAAATAAATGCTGTTCTTTTGAACTTTCTGTTCATCTGTGAATCCTGAAAAATAAAATGCATCACGGTTTACACAAAAATAAAAAAATATATTGATCACAGCAATCAATTACTTTAAAATGCCGTCACTGATGATGAATCATTCTCAACAAGACCAGGATCATGAATTAAGTAAATCAGGTCGTTTTGATCTGAAGTGTTTTGACTGTTGGATGCTGCTGTATTCCACAGAAGCAGCCAACGCTCCACGTTTCCAGATCAGATCCGCCTCTTCCAGAATGATTTAGGGTGTTTTTCCAGCTCATTTTGAAGCTGGTTTTCCAGCACATTCTTGACACTCATCTGATCTCTTCATTCCCGTCTGTACTCCTCCTCCAGCTGGAGCTTCTCCGTGTTGTTGTGGATCATCGGCGGCTCGCTGCAGGCCTGCAGCTTGTCGAAGAAGCTGAAGTCTGCGGCCAGCTTCCCGCCAGTCGTGTCGGACAGCACAGGCTTGAACTCATAACCCCACAGGATCTCCTGCGGCAGGTAAGACGTGCGGCTCTGGCAGGTGGCGGCTGTGGACTCCATGGTGCCATTGAGGGTCACCAGCAGCTCGAAGTCTTGTTTGGGCAGGTTCTCGGCCGTGAGGCTCCTGAGCGGGCTTCGCTCGTCCAGCACGTGATAGAAGGTGAGCGGCAGCAGCAGGAACGGACACTCGCCGCTGGAGTCCAGCTGGAAGTCCACGCTGCTCTGATGGACGAGGGTCTTCTCGCCTTCTTGCGTGACGTTGGTCGACAGCAGTTTCCCCGAGAGCTGACACTGAATCAGGAGGCTGTTCCTCATGTTGGCCACGCGCACCATCAGACACCAGCTCCCGCCGTGCTTGCACACCACCGCCGACCGGCTGAACTTGATGCTTCCTGCGCGCTTCTTGGGTCTCGCCAGCTTGGCCAGAAACGCACCGGTCACAAAGATCTCAGCCAAACCCGTGATGACCAGCTGCAGCACCAGAGTCACGATAGCCAGAGGACACTCCTCGGAGATGTGCCGGAAGCCGTAGCCGATGGTGGTCTGGGTCTCCAGCGAGAACAGGTAGGCGCCAGTCAGCGTGTCCACGTTCATCACGCAGGGCGTGTGATTGGACGATGGGTCGGCGTGGAAGTCGCCGTTCCTCAGGCCGATGAGGTAGAAGACGACTCCGAACACGAACCACGTGGTGACGAAGGTGGAGGTGAACAGCGTGATCTTATAACGCCACTTCATGTCCACCACTGTGGTCCAGATGTCGTGCAGGAAGAGCTTGACCATCCCTTCCACGTTATCGATCTTCACGTTACTGCGGCCATCTTTAGACATCACACGCCGCACATTATCCGTCATGCTGCAGGAAGAGAAGAGACGTGAAAATCATCCTTCACCATCTCAACTGCAACAGTCAGGGTTTCTGTGGGTCTTAAAAAGTCTTAATTCGCCCTTCCACAAATGACGGCATTAAAAAGGTCTTAAATCAGAGCAGAAAGTCTTAAATTCATAAAGTCGTGGCATTAAATGTTGCATGAACTGCAGAAAATTAATCTCTTCCTCAGTATTTGTGTACAGTGGCCCAGTAGTGCACAACACAACGAAATCGCAACAGCACAACGAAATTAGCACAACACAACGGAAAAAAGTCGCAACACAGCGGAAACAACAAACAAGCCACAACACAATGAAATCGTCGCAGCACAATGGAAATACTCCCGCTCCCTTTCTTGGCCACTATAGAGGATGCATTAAAACTAAGGACTCTATACCAGAGGCAGTGGTCTAGCGAAATTCACATTTTGGGCATTTTAGTACCAATTATTTTAAAACCATTAGCCAAGTCATTTATATGGCTATGCAAATTTAAAATGTCTTTTAAAAATCCTGGTGCAGTAAAACCTCTTCAAAATTAGTAATATTTTTAGACCATTAACTCTAGTATGAAGCCCAAATTTTAGCTTTAAAGCATTTACGTGGCGGCGAGAAACGGCGTTATGAAATTAATTCAACAGTAATAATATGTGCAAGTTCAAGAGTCCATAAAATCATCAGTATGGTATAGTAAATTGTTCAAAATTAAGGTTTTGTTAGTCCATTACCTCTATATAAAGCTTGCATGTTAGTTATCTTTATAGAAGGCTATATGCAGTGTAAGTAGCATATTTTAGATGCTGTTTACACTAATTGACAATAGAACGTATTTTATGGATACACTGTTTACACTAAGTGACAATTAGTGTTAAATTCAGTTAACGGACATTGGTGAGCGTAATTAGTGTAAATAGCCTATATGTCAAAAAAGCTGGTTAGTTGCACTTAATGTAAACACTCCGTTTTTGAAATGGCACCATGATATGGGGTGATATATAATGTACTGTCCCATAGAAACTTATACTGGATATCAAAATTTGGATATTCATTAGCCCCTGCATTAAATCCCACGGCTCATTCAACAGTAACTTAAAAAAAAGCAGCGCCATATTTATTAAAGAGGTGCTCATGCGGTAAAAAGTAGAAAATATATATGTTTGTGTGCATAGGACCATTTCTGTTGTGTTGTGCTAATTTCGCTGTGTTGCGACTTTTTTCCGTTGTGCTGTGGCTTGTTTCCGTATCCGAGATTGCGCTGTGTTGTGCACTACTGGGCCACCGTATTTGTGTCTTGTTATCCAGTACAAATGTCTAAGCATCCTTAAGTCAAGAATCATTTACTGAAGATGCAAAATGAAGATAAGAAGTCTTGTTTTCTGAGAAACGTTACAAAATGAAGTGAGTTTATGATTAAAACAAGAATAAATATCTGTCAGTAGGGAAAATTAAACTTTAAATTAAGTTGATTTTTCTGAGCAGATTCATAGATATTTGTTCTTGTTTTAATCATAAACTTAATTTGTTTTGATCAATTTCTCAGAAAACAAGACTTTTCAAGACATGCCATTTTGCATCCCCAGTAAATGTGTCTTGATTTAAGAATCTTTAGATGTTTAGAAAACAATACAAAATGCCATATCGGCCTTCGATACTGTAGATCATAATATTTTGGTATCTCCATGTTGGAATTCGTGGGACTGCTCTTAAATGGTTTAAGTCGTTTCAAGCAGATAGAAGTTTTGCGGTTAAACTGGGAGAATATATGTCAACACCAGCTCCACTAAAGTGCGGAGTCCCTCAAGGGTCTATTTTCGCCCCCCTTGTATTCTCACTGTACTTACTCTCTTTAGGAGCTATAATTAGGAAACACAATATTTCGTTTAATTGGTATGCCGATGATACGCAGATTTATCTTCCTCTTCAAAAAGACTGTGGGTCTGGTATGAGTTTGCTTTTGAACTGCCTAACTGACATAAAGGACTGGATGGCGTTTAATTTTTTTAAATTCAATGAAAATAAAACTGAGATTATGCTTTTTGGTCCAGTTAGTAATCAAACTACCATAAATTCTATCCTTGGCTCCCTGGCTAAGCATAACCAAGCAGTGGTGAAAAATCTAGGTGTACTATTTAACTATTTAAATAAATTCAGTGGTAAAATCTTGCTTTTTTTAATTTGAGACTTTTTGCAAAGATGAAGTTCACAGTTCAAAATGCGGCTGCAAGATTGTTGACAGGCACCGAAAGCATGATCTTATTGCTCTTATCCTGTCCTCTCTCAAATGGTGGCTGGTAATAAACTCTTATTGTTTGTTTTCAAATCTCTGAATGGGCTCACACCAAAATACCTGTGAATATCAGTGAACCGGCATTCCTCTGTTAGGCCCCTGAGATCATCGGACCAGCTTCTATTAGCGGTTCCCAGATCTAGATGAAAACTTAGAGGAGATTGTGCTTTCTCGGTTGCTCTCCCCAAACTTTGGAACTGTTACTCTCATGTTTCAGATCCGCCCAGACCATCTCTAGTTTAAAATCTTTATTAAAAGCTTATTTATTAACTAGGGCTTTTAATTCTCCAGGCGATTAATTCTTAGGTGTGTTCTTGTTTCATGTTGTGTTTGTTTTATGCTCATGCACATCTTTTATTATTTTATTTTATTGTGATGTACAGCACTTTGGGCAACCTTGGTTGTATTGATATGTGCTTTATAAATAATAAATACAAATACATATGGCAAAAAATATATATTTTTTCAAATATATTTTTTGTACATTTCAAAATTTAAAAAAATGGACAACTATATTTTTTGCCCTCCAT